GACATATTCAAATATTCACTTAATGAAAATGCAGTATCTGGTGTTTTCATATCATTAATTGATCGAATTTGGTTTGGTGGTGTTCTTGGACATTCAATCAAATCCTTTGAAGAAGATGAAGATGAAGATGAAGATGAAGATGAAGAAGCATCATTGTTTTCCTTCCATGGACTAAAAGTTGATTTTTGAATTTTTTGGTATTTAGTGGCAGGGTTTAAATCTTCACCCCAATCTGCTTTCCTTCTACGTGATGATGATAAAGAAGAGTTTGTTATTGTTGGTGATCCAAAGTCCATTAATGTCCATGAGTGATGATGATGATTATGATTATCATTATTATGTTGATGTTTATGTTGGTAGTGACAATTATTGTTAATCATGTAATTATTAATATGTTGATTATTGTTGTTGTTATTATTAAATCTATCTGATCCATAATTTCTTCCTATTGAATTTAAATAGGGTTCTATGGAACTAAGATTCATCCCTATTGGGAAAAATGGAGGTAAATCTTGTTCAAGAGAATATGTATCAAATGATGGTAGTGAAGCTAATTATTGATATGACAATGATAAAATAATAATAATAAGCCAAAAAAAAATATATTGTTAAGATCAAATAAATAAATGAATAAAGTTAACAAATTGATTGATTGATTGATTACCTATTGAAGAAGAGATTTCATCATTATGATTTAAATGTTGTTTATTGATGTTAATATTTTTGTTATTATTATCATTCCTATTGTTGTTAGTATTATTAATGTTAGATGATGATGATTCAGGTCGATTAACTAATGAATCAAGTATTTCAAAGACAGCTTTAGCTTTTTCATCTGTAAATCTATTTTTTGATGGAGGTACAGGAGAAACATTAAATGGAAGATGTGTTCTTTGCTTATTTGGATAATTTTTATAATCTTCTAATTTCTGTTTTACCATTCTTTCACACGTTGATATATCACACTTTTGTAAACCCCATTTTACTTTAAAATAAGCAAATTGAAGCCCTATTCTTAATTTTTTTGCAACCTAAACATTGATATTTATGGATATGTGTGTATATATATATATATATGATTATATATTTATAAGCCACTTCAAATTCAGGTGGAAATGTTAGAATATAAAAAAGGTTTATTTTTACCTCATAAATATCTTTTACTTTTGAATAATCTATTATAGGTTTTTCTGTTAAGAGTTTAACGATTTCTTGTAATTCTTTTGCCTCGTCAACATTCATTATGAACTAATTAATAAATATATTATTGATATTGTTTAATTGTCAATACATCCATGAATATTTAATTAATTAATTAATTAATTTTTTTTTTTTTTTTTTGGAATTTATGATCAAATTTAATTACTTTGATTTTTTTTGACACACCTGTTCTTTATTGTCTTTCCACAATGAAACCCTTTTTTCCCATTCATGAACATTATTAGGATTTTGTCGTAAAAGTACATCATTTACCAAAAATGGTCTACGATCCATCAATTGCTCAAATCTCAAAAGTCTAAGATCCAATTCTAAATCTTCTTCAGGATCATCATCATTATTTTCTGCGCGAGTTGCTGCTTCTTGCATTTTTGTTTCCATTATTGTCTCTTCAAACTGTGCATAAGTATCAAATATCTGCGTGAAATCTCTTACTGTCATCACATTCTTTATACCTTCTTCAAAAACATCTCGTGCCTGACAATAATATAATGGAAAAATAATATGATATTAAATAAACTTGTTCTCATACACATAAAAAAAATATAAATACCTTTTCAAAGTGACCTAATAAAATCCAATAATTAGCTAAAGAATTCCACAATTTTCCCACTTGATCAGTGAATCTACGAATCCCACTCCTTATAATAGGTTCTACTTTTAAACCTTTGATCTCTTGCGGATGATCGCACACTAAATCACAAAGTTCCATCCATAATTGATAATTTGATTTTCCATGCATTGATTGAAATCGATCATTATTCACTATTATTGCCAATTGTTT